AAATAGTAACACACTTATGATCTTTATCAAATACAGCCTGATCGTCCCAGTGATGATATTGCTGAGTATTGGTGTTGTCGAGCCACTGGTAATTTAGTAGTGCATTGCTCCATTCAAGTCCGATATAAACATCTTGCTTGTCATCCCCGGTAAATAAATTGATGAATTCATCATTCTCATCCCGGCTGTGTATTATGAACAGGGTAGATGATTTATCAAATGATGAGCATGTGGTTTTTGCGTCAGTTTCATTTGCCATGGTTGTTGATGCCTTGACACATTTACCAGATTTCTGTAATAATGTCCATCCGGTTGGGCAGGGAGTTGCATCTAGGGAATCTACAAATTTTATTTAAATTATTTTAAATAATAATTACGAAAGTTGTTTAAATAATATTTAATAACACACAACTAATTGTACCTATATTAAAGCATTGATGCTGCAATATATTTATTAATAAAATTATAAATGAAAATAAAAGTTTGTTATTCATATTGAATGAACTTATAAAAAATAAACTGTAATTTAAATAGTAATAGTAAATAAATATTGTAAAATTTTGTTTTTATATAAAAACTGGTTAAACCCTAAATCAATAATAATATTTAAAAGACTTTATTTTCGTATTTTATTATGATAACATTGTTATGATTAGGGAACTCATAATTTTATCACTTATAAATCTATATTTTAAATCCCTAAATAAATAATAATCATGTTTTTGTAATCCCATTGTTTGATTATCATTTTTATTTACATTATAATGGTTCGTATTTAATACCCATTTATCTATTAATCAATAAAAATACACTTATTTTCTATGAATTATAGTAATGATTGTCAATGATATTATTTTTAAAAATATATTTTGTTAATTAAACATAATGTATTTATATAATGATAATACAATGTGATCTGTAATACTGTATAATATAAATGCTATTTACATTGTTTAATTAATTAAAAATAATTTTGATATTAAGTTTTAAATACATTGCGTAATTAAATTTTAAAATAATTAAGGTTGAAAACAATTAGTTTTAATATCATGAACATCTGTTTTTATAGTACCATCATCCGTTAATAATGTTTTAACATCATTAGTCATTAAATTTACACCCACAATTAACCCGGTCATATCAGCCCTTATCGAGCTAATATTAATATTAATCTTATCAACGTAATCTGTAATAATTGGGAAATCTGATATTGCTGACTTCACATCCTTACTTAAATCAGGCATGGTAGTTATCAATGGATCTAGACTAGATTTAAGCGAGGTTACATTATTTGTCAAGCCCAGTATATCAGATTTAAGTTGCTTAATTTCACTATTCATAATATTTAGCAAGGTAATTACATCATGATTAGATTTAATTAGCAAGTCAATAATATCTGTTATTTGTGGTACACTTTTCTGGCAAACTACCAGTCCCTTTTGGTTACAATCATTAGACACCCAGTACCCTGGTACCTTGTTTTTAATTGGGAAACCCACGCATGGTAGACCAGGGTCAATTTTGGCAGTGTCATTCCAGTGGTGGTAGTGTTCAATACCGGTGCTGTCGTCCCATTTGTATTGACTACCGTCCCATTTGAGTGCGATGTATACGTTTAGGAGGTCAGGCACATTTTTGAATAGGTTACCAAGCTCATCCCACTCGGCCTTATTGTGTATCACTAGAAGGGTTGAGTTGGTGTCAAATGAGTGGCAAAATTGTGCTGCCTCATTTACGGACTCCGCTATTATACGGGTATTATAGTAGCATTTGCCCGATGGTAGGACTGTCCACCCTTTTGGACATGTAGGTGCTTCATGGAGATCTTAAAATAAAATTTATATAGTTAATTATGTGATGTAGTATGTCAATTTTTAAACATTTATACTTAGGCAATAAACTGTAGTAATAAATAGAGTAAGGTATATTATATAAAAATACATTTTATAATATTTATTTTATAAGTCAGCTATGCACAATAAATATTTAAATATAACTTTGTTCCTTATGTAATAAATAATTTTTACACTTTATTTATATGTGTTTTACACATTAGCTTATCAAAATGGACTGGGCAAAAAATGTTAATTGACTGATTAGAAATTCAAGTATTTATAATATTTTTAGTTAAATATTTCCTTGCTAAACTCAAAATAAAATTTAAATAAGATTAAATTTTTATATTAAGAATTAATTTAATTTTATAATAATCAATTACTAATATGTATTGCAAGCATATATATTTTAATTTTATAAATTTTAGCACTAGTTTTGTAAATAATATTTTTACAAAATTTTAGTGCAAATTTCATAATTATTTAATTACCGGTATAGTTTAAGTGTTAATGAATTTGATAACACGTGTGAAATAGTTTAGGCACTTGTAGTGCATTCGGTGCACCGGTATGTTTTTAAAGTGTTTAATGTAGGACTACATAAGTGGTGCACTAAAATCAAGGTCTGTAAAAGATCATTGCAAAATTTACAGAGGTAATATTGTCTCATGAACCGGATTAATTATTTGTAATTTTTCTAGCAATAAATTTTAAAAAGTAATTTCATCATTATAGAAATATATTTTTTAAGTCATGAATATATTTAAATTTTTAATTAAAAATTTTATTATTTAAACAATAATTGTATCACTATTTAGATTTATATTTAAATAACTCTGTATTTAATTTTAAAAACATAATATGCTATATTATAAGATATATTAGTACAATATAATGTTATTATAATCATGAACACTAAACTATAAAATTAAATTAAAATTAAGACAAATTAAAATAACTAACATTATTAGATAAGTAAAAATTTTATTTTAAAAACTATACTGGACAAACATTATTTAAAAATATTTTTTAGGTTTATTCGAAATATTGCACTCAGTCATAAGCGAGTGAATATTATCTTGTAACTTTTTAACCAAGTCAAACACTTGACCTAGGGTAACCGGGTTCTTTTGGCAAACAATCAAGTTCTCCTGTTGATCATTAGTGGTCATCCAGGTCATTTTAAAGTCATTACCGGTGGGAACGGTAACATATTTTAGGGACCCGTCCAGCTTAGCCTTGTCATCGAAATGCCTATATTGTGAGACATCGGTATTGTCGGCCCATTGGTATGTTTTAGCACCCGAGTCATATTTGAGATCAAGGTAGATTTGTGATTTTTGCATGTATCTTATAATTGACTCTAGCTCAGTTTGCTCGGCCTCATTATGAATAATAAACAGGTTGGCACTCATACTTGAACATGCTTGTTTAGCATCATCGTAGGTTTTAGCTAGTTGCTTGGTGTTTATGTAGCATTTGCCTGATGGTAGCGAGGTCCACCCGGTGGGACAGGCATCATCTAGTTCATTTATTAAGATAGAAATTATTTATTTAATTATTAGTTACTATAGTTAGTTTTTTACCTGAATATTGTGCACTAGCAGCAAGTACAAACAAACATGTAAAATATATAAATAAATACATAGTAAATTGTTATTGAGTTAAAAACTAATATAAAATAGTAATTTATTGTATCTATTTTGTGCATGTTATAAATAGTTATTTATATACAATGTTACACATTCTTATCTAGCTAATTTATCAAAATGATTTTAGGTTATATAACTAATTATCGCGTTTTGTTTTAGTGGTCTCATAAATTGCATTGCTTAAAGTTTTAGTTTATATTTTTAAATGTAATTTTATAAATATTTAGAAATGAAAACAATGTAATCATAATAATATTTATTTTATTAGTAGTGGTCATTTTAAAAAATTTAATTGAATAACAATTTTAATTAAGTGATTATACAATTAAAATAAATTCATTTTTGGGTTATCTCGGAAAGTAGAAATATATTTTATTTTATAAAATCCTTAATCGTATAAATTAATGTATTAATTTATACAGTACACTTAAAAAATAACTATGATCATGAAAAGTACTTGATCAGTAAGTGATCATTGATAATGTTTAATCAATTTCATTACACTTGAGTACAATATCGTTAATTGCATTATAAGTGGATTTATCATGCTAAATAAACATCGGTAAAAATAAAAGGACCTATTAAGTTTAATATAGCTGATAATATTTGCTCTGATGGTTAATATTTCTTTAAGTGGTTATAGATTTCAAAACATTTGCTAAAATATTTACAAATTGTTTTTCAAATGAAAATTCAGTATTTTAATTAAAATACAAAATGCACATTTTTAACTTATAGTTAAAATTATAGTAATTTATAAATACAAAATTATAAAAACAAATGTCTTAGAGCTAGGTTATTGTAGATCGGATATAAATATTAGCTATCAATGCTTAACTAAAATATTATAAAGTTAATTAATAGAGTTGATGATTTACAAATATCAAAAGTAAAAAGTAATTTATGTTTAAAAATATAAAAATTCAAAATATTATATTAACTTAAAAAATGCACTACATAACTTTACTCGTTTATAAATTATTGTTTAGTATTACATTTTATAAATTACAATGAATGTGCTAATAAATTAATGGCTTATTAAAATGTCTAATTAATTAGTTATTTTTTAAATTAAATTTTATAACGTACAGTATGCGCAATGAAAAAATAATAAACTATCAACTATTTTACAATTATTTAACAATTATCAATATACATTTATTTGTACTATGACTAACAATTTGCTAAATTATGTAATATAAAATATACAATAATTTTCATATGATTTAAATATTAAATAAAGTTTTGTTTATTTAATAATCATATAATTTTAATTGTTCAGTATAACAAGTTTGTAGTGTAAAAATGTCTACTAATATTAATTAAATTTTTATACTATTTACACCAATAGCCATTGTTTTTGTATTTACACTGTGTGTTTCAATACACATTATAATATTTATTATAATGCTAAAACCGGCATTAACATTATGGTTTTTATTTTTTGCTAATACTTTAGCTGACAAGGGTAAGTTAATGTCATTTATTAACAAAGTGAATTAATTAATTATTATTATATTTACAATTTAGAGTTTAAGGCTCTGAATGATAAAATTGAGGCCAATAAAGGTATTTAATTATAGTTAAGTTATTGATAAAAAGTTAACCATTTTTGAATGACAATGTGCTAAATGGTGACATTTACTATGTTCTAAAAATTCATACAATTTAAATAAATGTCACAGTGTAATTCAACTATTCAACTGTGTATGTACGTATGTGTGTGTGTGTGAGTGAGTGAGTGAGTAAGTAAGTAATTGAGTGAGAGAGAGAGAGAAGTAAAATATAGACCAAAAACCTAATTACAGTTTGCATTAAACCCCCAAAAACTAGACGTGAATTCGAGTGTATGCGAGGAGAACCCACACACTGGCGAGAAATGTTATTATGTATTAAGTAAGCAAGGCACAAAGAAACAGGCTATTGAGACGTGTCAAAACCTAGCCACCAACGCCCACCTACTGTCCATTTACACCAGAGAAGAACAGGAGTTTATTGAGGGAATGCTGACCGATACTATCAAGGATAATTTATGGATAGGGCTCGAAATGGGCAAGGACAAAGGGTTTAAATGGCGGGACGGGGAGGTCGGGAAGTTTTTGAACTGGCCAAAGGACACCAAGGTTGATTTTAAGCCGGGTGACTGCGCTAGGATGTCCATGAGCGAAAAGACCAAGGGCCTTTGGAATAAGCACGATTGCAAGCATGCTAAAACGAGTATTGTGTGCCAGTTGACCCCGATTAAAAAGGCTTAATAACAAAAATTGTAGCGTGGTTATTTTTATGTTTAATGTTTTTTGTAATAAAGAAATATTGAAGTTTATAATTAATAATTTTTAATAAACTTTTTTGCTATATTGTAAGTTAATTGTAGCTACCAGTGCGACATCAACCGGTGTTGTATTGAAGTAATTTATTTAAAAGGGTAAAACTTGTCCAACCTATTACATTAACCTTTATACTTTTCCTGTATGTTTTAATGTCATAGTTAATAAAATTACAGTTTTTAATTAGATATAGTTTTTCAATTAAAAATATAACTTAAGGTTAATTTGTCTATTTAATTTTCGAGACAATTAATAGCTTAACTATTTATTGCTAAAATTATATTTTAGTAAATTATTTATTAGTATATTATTAATTAATATATTATAGATCATTAAATATAATGTGCAATTATGTTCAACTAATTATTTTATTTGTGTACACTCTAACTCTAAATGTACAAAACAACTAAACTAATTAAAACTAATGACAAAATGTACTATGCAATGATCAATTAACATTTAATTAAAAAAAGTTCAAGTATACTAGTATAAATTAATAAAACTTATTTTATTTCTAAATATTGCTATCTGATCATATTATAGTATAATCATGGACTTAGACTTTAGACAAAAATTGCCAAGCAACTTAATTATACAATCGGCCAGTAACAAATTATATGAAATTGGTTTATATCATTGGACTTCAAACGAACTAGATAAAAATCGGCATATATTATGGCACCCTTTATTAGTGTTGTGTGGTTTACTATTATTTACAATAAGATTTTTCATAAGGATTTATACAACCCTAGTATTGGGTCAGGAATTCCGGGAATTATACGTAATATGCGGGGACTTCTCATACCTATTGGGACTGACCTACGAATTCAATGTAGCCTTAACCCTATGGGCATTCATCAATATTATATACATGGCCATTTATTACTATAATTATAAAATGGGTAAACATGCTACGTTTTTAAAAATATTTTGCATGTTGTCTGGGTCAATTACACCAGAGTCTATAGGTTTATATGATTGCAAGGACATTTTAAAACTTGTACTTAGGTCAAAATTATTATTCAAAATGTGCCATATAATAGTATATTACATGGTGCCCACATTTGGCTTGATCAATTTTACTCCATATTTATTAACATGCTCAATTTTTGAGATTATTTTATATGGGATACCGCATAGCCTCATGACATGTCTATCCGCAAGTCATGCCTACGGACTGAGTCTATACTTATTGTTATATTTTTATATTATGTGTTATTATTTGAAACTCAAAATACGTGTAATTAATGAGAAATTAGTAAAATGTTTGAAAACTGACCGTAACTTTCAAGCGACATATCACATGAATATATTGCGCGCATTAACCGCAATATATAATGAAATTAATGATTACAATAACTATTGGTCAGTGTATATGCTGGCTGTTTGGAGTGTACTGGGTATTATTGTCACTTTTGGTATATTTGTATTACTATATCAGTCAATGAATGTAATTTGTCAGCTATTGGTGTCTATGGCTATCGGTTTGTCAGTGATTTTGTTTATTTGTAATATATTTATTGCTTCAGATGTTAATTATAAAACTTATTTGTCGTATAAATTGTATAATAGTATCATATGTAGGCAAAAATAATTTTAGTTTTATTTATATACACTGTATATTTATTAGACAGTATATCTTTATAATGTAACTATAAAATTTTAAATTCCTAACTGTAATGAATAAAATTTATTTATTTTAATATGTTATGACTTTTGCATTAAATTTTAAATTGGTATCACAAAACGATTATGAACCTTTTTAATCATGGTTCAATCAAGTATCCCCGTTAATTGCGCGCATGAATTAATTTTAATTTTAATAATAAAAATAAAGAATTAAAGTAATAAACCAAAAATAAATTAAAAATTTGACAATTTAACATTATTATTTATTGAGAATTTATTTTACAGTTTGCAATCATAACAGTATTTGAATTATAAACCAAGTTATCGTATAAACATTGTATTAATATAATTTGCAGATAAAAATAATCTAGGCTTTATTTGTATCCACGTCAATATTATAATGTACTGTAATTATACATTTTTAAATTCAAACTGCAATAAATAAAATTTATTTGTTTTAATATGTTAAGAATTTATATTAAAATTTAAATTGGCAATTGCTTTCGATATGAATTTCATTTTTTCCAAGGTTGACCTAGGCAGCCCATTAAATGTTTTCATAAATTAATTTTAATTTAGCTATAATTTTTAAAAAATTAACGTAGATAATCCAAATCAAAAATAAAAATTTTATAAATTAATATTATAATTTAATTAAAATTAACATTACAGTTTGCAATCATAATAACAGCTAAAATATTATTTAATAAAATCTATAATAAATCAGTAATAATCTTAAAAATAAAATGTAGTATTTCAAATCACTACTATTTTCATAAATAGCATGTAATAAAATGAGTAATATAATGTGCCCAGTTTGTATTTCATTTTTAAAAAATATCATTTAATTACTTATTTCTAGCTTTGTTTGAAGTAGCACACAATTGTGCCTGTATAGATTATTACCGTAAGTTTAGGCAATATATAAAATAACATATTTATAAGGATTAGCTAATCTAATCATAATTTGTGAGTCATACATTTATTTAATTGATTATTGGTGCTATGTGTACAGTATATCAATATTAGTGCAATGGGATCAATATTAACTAGGCAAACAATATATAAAAACTATCATACAATTTATTTGTTTAGTATTTGATATTGTGCAAAAATAAATAATTTATTAAAAATTATTTTTATAAACTACTTTTTATGTTTAATTAATAATTTATTAGACAAACATTAAAAATATTAACATGGCAAACTTATTAGCAGCAGTTATATTAGCACTACTTACTGTATATTGCAATGCAAAAAGTATTACAGGTATGCTATTTAAATAAACCAATTTTAAAATTAATTTCTAAAATATGCTTGCTATAATTTCAGACTTGGACGTAAAAACTATATGTACACCCTTGGACACTCAGGACGACAAATGCTACTACCACATTTTAAATAAAAATGCTACCCAGGCACAAGCTAAGAACATGTGCAAGGTGCTTAATAAAGATGCCATACTGGCCACCATTGGTAAAAAAAGTGATGAAAGTGCGATATCCCTGATGTTGTCAACCCTGGGGGTAAAGGTATGGTTAGGACTGGAGTATACAAATGATGGGAAGTACCGGTGGGTCGATGGGTCGACCACTGATTTCTATACTAATTGGATGTCCGGTAATAATACGGCGTTTGATGATACTGAGGGTAGTCAGCCGTGGGGTAACTGTACATACCTGGCCCTTAATGAGCCAATTGGACTTGGTTACTGGTACACACATAATTGCAATGATACATTAGGAGTATTGTGCCAGGTAATTATTATTTGAAAATGTTACTAGCCGCGGTTTTGTAATTTATTATTTTATTTCAACTAGGTAAAACAAAATTCAAAAGGCAATGTGGCTAAAATTGTAATAAGCAATTGGTTGTCCATGGTGGTCATTTTTAATTTCATATATTTATTTTTAAATGTTAATAAGTAATGTGTTCTTGTATAAATTAATATATTTTTTATTGTATTTGTTGTAAATTAATGATGGTAATAATTTTGATTTGTAATTTAATTAATTAAATAAAAACTTTTAACAAGATAATCTAAATGAGTATTATAACTTAAAATTACTTTAATAATTATTGATATTTATGAACAAAATAAATTCAACATTTAACTTTTCAATTATTAAATATAGTTAAATAATATTTTAATATAAATTTTATATAATTATTATGCATTTCAAACTGTAATTTAATCAAATGTTATTATTTTTATTAATCTCGGTTATCCATAAATTAATTTTGGTTTCACAAACAAACCTGATTTTCTATTTTTAATAAAAATTTATACAATAGATAAAATTTTATATTTAATATATTTAACTTTACTCCAAAATTAACTTATAATAACCAGTTTTAATAAAAATAAAAATAAAAATATGTTTTCTAAATTATAGTATGAAATGCATAATCATTGTAAATTAGTTGCATTTAGTATCACATTATTTATTAATTAACAAGTAATAATATGATATATATTTACCATTTCAATCAATAGTTGAAATATTAATTAACATTACCTTAATATGACAAACGGCCTTCACCCTAGGTTAATCACAATTTACAGCACCTATCTTAATGCTAGTAATTGTGTAATATTGCTATTACTGATTGTGCATGCAACATTATAAACAAAGGTATTATAGTAATATTATGACTCACTGATAAATAATGTTACTAATACTTTATTTATGATATCGATTAACCTATTACAAAACTCAGTAGTAATTATCAAATAAGTGCATTGTGAACTAAATTGAGTAAACACACTTGAGATTTTTTTGTTACAATATTATATTTTTATATAAATACAATCAGAAATTATATATTTGCTCAGTTATTATTTGCACAGTTAATTATTAGTATTATTTTTGTAACCTTATTTTGAAAATTATTTTTAAAACTAATTATCAACATACAATGTCAAAATTAGCAGTATCATTTTATTTATTTATCGTGGCAGCTACCTGTTATGCGAAAGGTATTTAAAACTTTAAAAATATAGTAAATATAATAAAAATATTTCTCGAAAATTAAATAAATTTTTACAAATTGTACTTGTTTAATTTAATTATCCAGACTTACGTACCACGGACACATCTGACCTACGTAGGATATGCACACCTACCGATGACAATGGTCATGAAAAATGTTATTACTACCTACCGTATGGCGTAGCTAACCAGACACAGGCTGCAGAAATGTGCAGGGTCATGGACGAGACTGCCATACTGGGCACTATACATACAAAGGAGCAGGAAAATATTGTAGCATTATTACTGGTTGGTACCAAGGTGAAAGTGTGGTTAGGCATGGAGTTTGATAAGACCAGGGGTGCGCACCGGTGGGTCGATGGTATAGCCAGTGATTACGAGAATTGGAAGTCCGGTACGAATACTTCGTTTAACGATACTAATGGTCACCAGCCGTGGGGTAACTGTGCCTACCTGTTACATGGTGAAAATTTTGATGCATCATGGTACACGTCTAATTGTACAATGGAGTTGGAAGTTTTGTGCCAGGTATTTTAATTAAAGTTATTTTTATTTTATTTAAATATTAATTGTATTATTATTATATTATAGACAAATAACGTGGTGAAACTTTTGTTAAGCACCTGGTTGGGTTTTTTGGTTGTTTTTAATTGTGTTAGGTTATTTGTAAAATAGAATATTTATTTAATATTTTTGTAACAATGTGTTTACCCTGTATAAATTGATAATAAATCCTATTATATTTTCAAATAAAAATTATTTTTTTATTATAGTAAACATAAAAATCAAATATGAATGACATGTACGAGACCAAGATTATTATCTTATGTTTAATTATGAAAGTCTTAAATATTTTAAAAATAAAATTACAGTATTTAACGAATGTAATTTTATAATTTTTATAATTCATTGCCGGTTGAAAATAGGGTTGTGGGTAAAGAGTAACAATGTCACTATAATGTCAGTTTATGTAAATCTACTTAGGCGGCGTCCACAAAGTACTTACGCAATGATAGGGGGAGGGGGTCATGCCAAAGCGTATGTCACCATGTTAAATTCCTATGTGGGATGGACGTGTAGGGAGAGGTCAATTTTCCCAAAGAGTTTGCGTAGGTACTTTGTGCACGCCACCTTTTTAGATCATAACAAATTTAAATATCAATTCACCCAATAATGTCAAAACTGACCAATAATATACTATAATGTCCAGTCGTGGTCAGGTATGGTTACTATTTGCTTATAATAACAAAATTACTATTAATTATTAATAATTATTATCTCATTTTATTAATAAATAATGAAAAATTGTGGTCATTATAACCACTACTGTGTAACAGTGTACAGTACAGTTCACATTGTAAAATTATAATTTATTATTCAAATTTATATATGAGCCAGGTTAAAAATTTTATATCAATTTAATAAAATCGTACTAATTTTTATAACATTAAACTTCGTAAAACAATATAAAAATATATTCCACACAACTAGAGTCCATAATAAATTTAGGGTTTTGCTGAACTGGCCCTTATTTCGTGGCCCTTGGCCCACCACTACAGGAAAACCAACCTAACCTAACCAAACTTAATTACACTAGAAGTTGGTTTGTTTCACTGCAAGACTGGGTTGGCTTCACTGCAATGCCTGTTAAGTATGATAGGTTAGGTTAGGTAGGCTTCCCTGTAATAGGGGGCCAATGGGCTAAGGGTCCCGAAATAGGGGCCAGTTCAGCAATACCCATAAATTTATTATAAACCTACATGATACAACATGATATTAACTAATCTTAATTACAGTTTCTCATCGTACTGTTAATCAATTTTAGATTAGCTAGATTATAAATTATCAGTTTGTTAACGATGACTATACTTACAAATATTGTTAGAAAAATTCAAATAAATTCTGTAAATGACACAAACGAATAACTAAAAAGAATTAGCTTGTTTATTTAATGTAATATCAGCAAATTAAAGCAAAGTTTTTAACATGTTTGTATTTTATATTCGTTTGTAATTATAGGTTAATTATGACATTCTTGACAAAACAGTAAAATTAACAGATTTTTAAATTAAAATAACATAATATATTATATAAATTATTATATATAATGGGAATCACATAAGTTACGACAAAGAACAAAATTTTAATAAATAATAATAGCAAATTACAAAAATATATAAATTGTATTATTATAAAATAATGGAAATTTATTTATGTTAGTTCTTCTTGTTAAATAATTATCAAGTTTAAATTAATTTTATTTATATTGATAGTAATGATAATATGTGAATTTTAAAAACTAATTTTACAGTTAGACTTGATTACTATAAACATTTTCATTAATTAAATATGATATAAAATTAGTATAGTAAATACTTAATTACAGTTTTACTAGTTAAAACAAATTGTATTTAATTTTTGTATATTAGGAGAAATACCATATTTTATAAGTATTTTAATTTTTATTTATTTGTAAAATAGTTTAAAATTTAGTTTATTACCGTAATTAAGTTAGGTTTTTATAGTTTGAAAACTTAAATATTTATAAAAATAATATACTGTATATATTCTATTAATTATCAACCAAAACTATTTTTACTTTATTTTACACCAAGCTTATTAAATAAAAATATATCCTTTGAATGGCCGCACATAAATGATTATAATCCATTTTAATATAACATAATATAAAATTAACTCAATTACATTAATTGTGTAACTAAATTAATAACTAAATTAATTGTCTCTCAGAGTACATTAAATTTTAATTAGCTTGCTTTTTATAAAAAACAATTTAAAAAGTCTATATCATATAAAAGCTTTGAAAATCAGTTGCCAATAATAATATTTATTATTGATTTGAATAATTAACATAAAGCATTTTAAAATATATACAGTTCACTAAAAGATATAGGAAATATAAATTATTTTACTAAATTATCGGGTAGATTAAAAATAACTTCACACAATGAGTAATATAAATATTTAATTCATATTTAAAAATTAAAATTGATAATTTAATATTTATTGGTAAATAAATTTCTAATATAAATACATTACTTTTAATTAATAAAGTTTATTAAAAATTATACTCAAAAAGTATGTTGATAGTTTATTATAATGCATTGGTATTTAATTTTAGCACGATTTAAAAATTTCATCATATTTCATATCATACTTTTTTGAAAACCTCGGTCATTTAGCTTATAAAACTGGATTTATCAGGTGTTTGAAATTATATTTATATCCCCCGTAAAACACATCAAGAAATTTAAATTATTCAAATTATTGCAGGTCATTTTAGTTTACTTTTTATTAAATTATTGGTTAATAACCTTGTTAACAAGTATCTATAAAAAGCTGTATTATCACATTAATGTAAGTTAGAAATTAAACTTTTATTTTAGCCAGCATACATTAATTTGTTTATAATAATAATTACACTACAGTTGAGGTCATTTGACAGACAACCGCCAAGTTATCGGTGCACCCGTGGGTATACCAAAAGCCATAAGACTTCTCGTCCTTAGTGGACAGGTATGTGCAGTCACCCCACGGTCTGCCCTCCCCATCGTCATCATCGAAAGCCGTGGCCCAGCCCTGCATCCAATTATAGTAAACGCCGGACACCCCGTCCACCCACCGGTACAACCCTCCGGCCCCGTGTTCCAGACCTAACCACACGTTAGTCTTGATGTCGGGGCTGTCCTTCACGAGGGCTGACACAAAGTCGGCCTCTTGTTTGGAGT